AACTTTCTATGAACACTATACTGGGTAAATTTATTAGTTAAAGTTTAGACTTGTGAAATAGCAGACCAATATTTTGAGGAATATATCCTACGCTATTCTAATCTGTTCATCTCATTAGATTTTTATGTATCAAAATAATTAGAAAAATATTTAGAATATAAAATTAAAAATGTATATTGTTATTAAAAAAAGCGTCGAAAAACAATAAAGATGATATACTTGTAGGTAGTGAAAAATATTTAAAAATAATTTCAAATCAGATATGCAAAAGAGAATAAAAAAAGAATATTTAGAAAAACGTTAATACTTATCGAAACAATGAGAATCAACTATTAAAATAATCACCCAACGTATAGGTAAACTGAACATTTTTGAGCATAGCTTTATCGTTTATATAATATAATTATAATTATAAATTAGTAATGATATTATAATTCTATCAAATACAATAAAATAAAATATAAAAAAACATTTTTAAATACAATTTCTTTTGTAATAAATTATGCTGTCAGATTAATTTTTAATAGTTTAATAGATTATAATTTAAATTGAATATAATCACTTATACTATAATTATATAATATATTAATCATGTAAATAAAGACTTTATTTTTTTTAATCCCTAAATGATAATGTTATTTTTATGTCGTATACAACTGTTTTATATATTGATAAAATAAACCTATTAAATTAAATGAGTATACGTGCACCATTATACTATTGTGTATATACTTTTCAAGTTTGTAATATTCATAAATATAAAGAAAAATGAGAAAGAGGAAGTTTTTTATAATTTTTTTTTGTTTATAAAAGAACTCTGTTGACAAAGTCAAACAGTTCAAAACTCTTGAACTTTTATAAAACTTTTACTATTGTCTTGTGGTGACACTTTTTCATTTTGTCTCCGGACGATTTAAAAGGAATAATATTCTCTCTATTTTTGTTCATCTTGGCAACCCCAAAAGTTAAGCGGGACTTAAATAAAGAAAAGAGCACGTCTTTTGATTTCTTAACAAAAAATGTATGTCTGGTATTTTGATCAATGAAAGAAGCTTATGGGGAACGCTAACCGGATCGGAAAGGGTAACATAGGACGTTTCCTAAACAAGTAAAACATTCTTAACGTATAGCCATAGGTATCTATTTGAAAACTTACTAACTTAACAATATACATTAGGCGAGTTATAACTTCATATAAAACATTTTCATTGAATCCGTGATATAAATCATAAGTTTATTTTACTTAAATAATTTAAACACAATGAATTGTGCAACTTATTAAAAATGTGAAAGATTGTTACATATTCGTACTTTTAAAGCGTTTGATTTATTTTAATATCTATTTATTTCCAATTATATTTTCAATTGATGATTTTGATGTAATAATAAAATAAATATATAAAAATATATTTTACAAATAATTTAATTTAATTGAGATAGTAGGTATCTAACAATATTTTAATATTTGTATTAATTTAATTTTAATGAAAATAATATCGATAATTAGTCATATTTCATTTCACTTATTATTATTATTTTGATTAAATTTGTTTGAAGATAGGAAGATAGATTCAACTAAACTTGATTATACTTTTTTGATTTAAGGTGTATTTATTTTTATAATTTTCCATTTAATAATTAGTATCATTTATTTTGTCATAATAAGCGATTGTGAGGAGCAACAATAACTGGCACAATCACAATCTGACTTTCATATCAGGGATTTGGAGACTCGCGATTTAGAGAGTTTATACATAAAATGTATTTTTTATAATATTAAAAGTATTTAACAAAATGCTATTAAATAGATTGTTTGACTATATTATTTAATAATAGGTAATTTGTCTGAAGAAATTTCAACTAGTACATGTTGATATCTCATAATAGGTATATCACTATAGGGGATACCTAAAGTGTGTCAGCAGTCTTATCGATAAATTATATTGAATAGCCCTAGTGCATTTGTACTTATATCGAAAAATTATATTGAATATATAGACAGGTACATAAATAAGTATTAGAAAAGTTATACGAGAGCTGAAAACTTAAAAAGTTGTACGTTTTGGATTATAGAGTCAAAGATTTTAAAATAAGTTATTAACTATTTACCGATAATTTTTTTTTAAGGAAATTCATTATTTTTATTTTAAAAATAAATTAGTAATCAGTAGTACACATTAATATGAGATATTAATGAGTAATAAACGTAAAATAATATCATTATAATTTAAAAATACAATTATTGATAAAAAAAAATCTATAAATGAATTATACATAATTTATCAAATTTTAATTTATTTATATTTATATCTTATTATAATTTGTCAAAAAAGTTTTTTTAAAATTAAATAATTATTAAATTATCATGAATTATTTAATATAAAATACCTATTTATTTCTGGTTATAAATATACAAACACAAGAGTTTAGTTATAATAACCAATGCATAAATAATTGATCATAATAAATTAAACATATTATAATATGAAAATATGTAATATGTACAATAGGTACTTAATGAATTCAAAACATGCCAAAAGCTAAATATATTTATAATCTATAATATTATTTACTTGGTAATCTACTAAATAATTTGATTATAAAGTGACTTTTTCTTAAAATTATAAAATTTAATTTCTATTATAAAATATTAAAGTCTAAAATGATTTGTAAACTATAAAGTATCTTTTTAATATTAATTGAATGCTTAAAACAGTTATTATGTTTAATCGATTTATCGCATTTTATTTATACTTTACAAAAGTTATCCAAGTATTAATTGTATTATTCTAATAATCACATTTACTTAAACGATGAAGTCTGGACAGTTTAAGCAACGTTTTAGTTTCACATATCCAGAAAAAGATTAAAAAATAATAGACAATTTTTTTAAAAATAATAATGTACATTATATTAAAAAAATTTTAATCTACCTACAGCTTAAAAGTCCTACGAATAATGAAATAATTGTTTGCTATAAAAACTAATTAATGTATAATGCTCATGACATACAAAACTGTATAAGTTATGACAGATTCCAATAGGTACATTGAAAGTTAACGAAAAATTCAAGAAATGTTGTACCTATATCATTAAAATATAATACTTTATAAACTTGAACCTATAATATTATTAGGCTCCAAATAAATAAAAATAAAATTATCAGTTAAAACAATTATTTGGTATTTTTGAAATATTTATAGACGAATTTCAAATTCTAAGAATGAATTCATAAGTACTTGAATGTTCGTCTAAGTTTTTAAATATAAATTTTCAATTTTGTTGAAACTGAAAATTAGCAACTATAAACAACATGACTATTTATACATACATACATATATATATATATATAAGTAATAATTATATTGTATATTATTATTGAGTAGTTTATGATTTTTGTGTAGTACGGTAAAACTCGGAGATAAACAATAAAATATCAAAATTTAGAACACAATTTTCCGATTAATTTTCTACCACATAAAGTTATAAAATACTTTTAAGAAATATTAAGAATTTAATTAAATATACAATTTAATCAATGTCATATGTTATTAATTATTATATATTTTTAGTAAGTAATAACAAGTAAAAAGAATACCGAAAATTAGATAGGTATGTATGAAAAATATTTGAAATGTTAATTAAAAATTATTTATCAGATTCTTGTTAATTGACAAATATTTTAATGTATTTAACACTGTGTTATTCTAAACAATTTAATTTTTTTTAGAAAACGTTGACGGTATTTGTAAGCTTTTTCATATAATTACGGTACAATAGTGGAAAGAGATTAATTGATTATATTGACATGTTATGTTATACGTTATTACATTATTATGTACGTATAGACGTAAATGTGAAGGGTTTTTTAGTGGGTTAATTTTAAAAACTCATCGATTGGTGTATGTGCGTACATAAACCACAAGCATGAGATGTATAACTAATATATTAATTTATTATACATATATACATATACAATATACATACATACATATATGACCGTTGCGGGAACAGATTGGATTTAGAAATTATGCAGACATAACAAATTCTAATAATATGTATGCACATTTTATTAAAAAGCCTCTGTTTCGAGTGATTCTATACTAATTACATGGATACCATTTATTATTTAGGTTTGAAGTCACGGTGATGCGTACTGTTATTGAAATTGACTGCATCAGTCATAAAACCGGACTCGCTAGAAATATCCGTCACTCGCGTCGTACAACGGAACAAATCGATCGGTCGGTCGATCGCAGCAGACGCTTCGGCCTTGGACAACAGAAGAAACAATAATATATTGACGGTGATCGCGCACGCTACACTTGTCGACGCCGCGCCGGCCTTGGATATCCGACACGAGTTTCGCTTCGCAATTTTGTATTATCATATACGTTTTGGTACGGCGTGTGTATAATATGATGGCTCTGCAATAGCGTATGACAGTAAGGCCGGTACCTACGGGGGAGGGGAGGGGGTGTTGTAAAAACAGGCGCCTAAACCGTCGGGGCGAGAGGATGCGGCGACGAGGGTTCCCTTTACGCCACGACGCTAAGAGGCCGCGTGTATGACGCAATGAGAGAGCAGAAAACACTTTGACGCCCTCCAAAAATGGTTTTATAAATTATACACATAAATCGTAAATAGATTTCAATTTGTATTAATCAACACTTTACTTGACGTAGGATCGAATTAATTCATAGCACACTATTGTTCGGAACGTTCGGATCATTATTTATACACCGATCGTGTCCGTCCATTTCTCTATTTTATAATGTTACATACCTGCGTATAATATTCGCAGTGTCGCTTTTATATTATATAACGGACGGGAGTTACGCTATAAAGTCGTTACGATATATTATTGGTATAATATTATGTAAAAAGGGTGTATATATATATACACACACACACATATATACGATTATAATAGCAGCGTAGTTGGCGTTATCAAATAGTCAGCAAGCATGCAACAATGGTGATGGTGCGTAGTAGCTTACCTCACAAGCATTTGCCTGAGCGTGGTCTCGTCGTCACTACCGTCGCTTTGGTCGGCCTTGTTCGAGCCACGCTCGGACGCTTGACGCGACGCAAACTGCCTCGCCACGCCCACATACCGGTCGCTGATCACTTCGCCCTGGTCGCTGACCAGCACGCCAGCTACCAGGCCGCTACCACGACCACCGTCGCCGTCGCCGCCGCCCTCACTGCACGGAGGGCTGCTGGTGCTGGCGCTGGTGCTAGTGCTAGTGCTGCTGCTGCTGCTGCTGGTGCTGGTGCTGTTGTTGTCGTTGTCGTTGTTGTTGTTGTTGTTGTTGTTATTGTTATTGTTGTTGGGCGCACCGCCGCCACCGCCACCGCCGCTGTCACCGCGGCTTCCAGCGTTGTTGCCGTCTTCGCCACCGTTGCCGCAAACACCGCCTCCGCCTCCTCCTCCACAAACTCTGCCGCTGCTGCTCGACACTTTCATACAACGAATCCACGGCGGGCGGTGCCGTCGCACGGCGCTCCACCAGACCGGCCCGCGGCGTGCAGCGGCGATACCACGTGCCGGCTGCTATTACTCCTCACACCAACCGTCGACACCAACACCTGAATAGCCCATATCACATACACATACACCACAAAGCTTTGTATTTACATACACACATACACACGGCATGCACTGAATGGTGTATAAAGTAGTAATTAACTAATGAGCTACGAGTAGGTAAGAAAATATATATTCCGAATGTAGGTACGTTAAATGTAATAAAACATTTTTTCTTTTTCATATAATTTATTTTTTTATTTTGTTAGAATTAAGGCTTTAATTACAAAGATTATTAGCCTGTTATGATATAATGGGATGTTACAGTGTGTGAAAGGATAATTAAACATTGTACGTATCTAAGTTTGATATTTTGTCAGTTTGTTTAAGAGATAAAGAAGTATGAAAAATGTCCAAAGTTAAATCATTATTTTCTTCTCGCTCGCGTGCCTAACAAAAAAATTTGTTAATTTGTCTGTGATTTTTTCAGGGCATTATTGAGTTGAAATTTTCAAAAAATGCATTTTCTGTTAAGTTTTAGAGCATTTGTTGATACATTTTGGGTATTTAAATTTAGGCCTTTAATTATAATTAAGCATGTATGCGAATTAATCAATATATATACTGGGATTTTATTTTTCGGAAATTTTATTAAATGAGATTCCGTTGAAGAAGCGAAAAAATGCCATTGATGATACTCTAAAATAGACAATTAACAGAAAGAAAGAATAAAAAATCGCCTGACACTTGTAAAGTTGTTATCAGATATCATATAATATGCTTTTCTTCTTGGAGGGATACATAATTATTTTCTATAAATAGGATATTGATTATACGGAGTGTATATGTACAGTGATATTAACTTGATGAGATTGCTAATACTTCCTAGTTACCTGATAGGAATATGAAAAACCAAAACGACAATATATTTGAATATAATAATTAAGGTTAGGAAATGCTTTATAGAAAGCATAGTTGCAGTAATATATTATTCTATATTATTATGTACCTACATGATTAATGTTATAAAATTTTCTTTGTATGATTTTTATTTTTTTACATTCATAATAAGGTTTAATAATTCTTATAACGGTTATAACTATGTACCTATTATGTTGTTAGGTTTTATTAAAATTACATATAATCATAAGCCATAACCTATATTATTTACAATAAGTTGAATAAGGAAAAATCATACAACAACATAAGCGTGACTTAGATATTTAGACTCTATGAATTATACTTTATGACTATACCTTATGTTAAAGATAATATTATTAATTATAATAGTTGGTAAATATAATATATATCTACAGTATAGTGCACGAGCTATATAAAACTTTGTATACTTTTATAATTAATAAAATTGATCTTATATTGTGTACTAGTTGACATTTTAATTTAATTTTCATGTTTTACATAAAGTTTATAATTATTATAATAGCCAATAGATACTTAATTATATACTATAGGTCAATATAATATTAATGTTATATTATTAATATTTATCATACTTCATAGGATTATAGTAATACTATTAGTTAAAATTGTGCCTTTTTATGTGAATACTTGTCAACAAATATATCTTTACTTATGGAATTATGCCTACATATTGGTTGGTGACTGTGCAGATAAATACTTATTTTGAAATGTTATAATTAAATAAGAAAAATACTTCATTGTTAACAGTTAAAATTATTACTATGATTATTATTTAATTATTTTGGGGTAATAATATATTATTTAAGGACTAAGAAACAAATTAAAATTTTCATGAAAATATCTTTAACACGATAAATAGTATCTACATTAAGACTAAAAAAATTAATTCACTTTATACGTATCCACAAATCAGTTAATTGTTAAAAATAATCAATACTCTTCTGAAATTTTATAGATAGATGCTTAACCATTATTGTTTTATTTATATTTTTGCTTTTATGATATTGATCAAAATTGTAATATGACATATTTTAATCAATATTAAAAAAGGTAAAAGCATTAACTGAAAAGTGAAGAATTAATACAATTTTATTATTTCTGTCTTTATTATTTGTATTACACATTGTTATAAAAAAATTATTTAATAGTTTAATAAGATATAATTAACCACTGGTCATATTTTTAATTTTAAAGCACAAATTTTATGAATAATGAATTTGGTACATAACTGTTGATGAAAATGAACAATGTTATAATAAAAATTAAATGTTACTGTAATTTTAAATAAAATTTAATACTCGATACACTAGTATTATATGTATATGCAATAAGTAATCACGAATTAAAAATTCAGTTAATATAATTCTATCATATAAAATAATATTATTATTATTATTATATATTACATGAAAAATATACCTATGTACCTACTAAGTAAATAATATACTTGGTATAATACAAAAAAATATTAATTTATTAATATTTAACTAACCTTGATACACTAATATGTTTATAAAGTATGTTATGCATTTTAGGTAAATTATATAAATTATAACAAAATATATACCTATAGTCTAATTTTTATTAAACAAATTTAAAATAAGTTTATTGACGAGAATATTGAAACTACTTGTAATACTTTAGCGATTTGTTCCACGATACCTAAATATAGGATTAAAACTTCAATGACTTAATGTTATTATAACTTCTTTTGCGATTCACAAGATTTTTTTACTACAGAGATCCTAATAAAAACTTATGTACTGCCTACTCTACAACAACTTTAAATACTGAATAAACTCAAAACTCAAAACATTGTTTTAAATTTTAAATTTTGAGCCGAATGTATTGGTCTTATGATATTTTATGTATTTAGATTACAGTAATAATTTTTTTTATATTGTTATTTTTTAGAGCTGAACATTTTTAATACGGCTAAAAAATATAAATCTAAATCATAATATTCACGTATTACAAATATCTAAATATTATCTAGTGGTTTAAAATTATATTTAATTTACAATATCGTAATTATAGGTTAGGTACACTGGCTTTCGGCGGAAATGCAAGCACATTTTTATACAGTTCAGTCAAAGTATAATTTAAATCAGATCGGCCAAGTACAACTTAACGGCTCATAACTGTAGGGGTTGCTCTTGCAACATCATCGGTAGTTGCACTGAATACTGATTTGTGAAAATTATTGAGTAATCAATTGGACCAGATTGATAGATTAATCTATTTATTTATTTGCGGTAATGATTTTTGATTTTAATTTCAACTCCAATGTGAAACATGGAATCAAAGAATTGATGCGATCCGATCCTATATCTAATACGCGAATAATAATATAATGCAAATGAGTATACAATAAACTGTTCAAAACTGTATAAAGCTTAACAAATAAGGTATTTACATGTTATGATCTAGGTACTACAATATGTAAATTAGATAATAAAATATAAATATTAAAGATCGATTTTCAAAAGTATTTATATTTTATGTCAAAACATTTTATAGTAAGTTAATATAATTGTTTTAGTATTTGTTATTTAAGTGAACATGATTTTAAATTTATTTCATTAAATCAATCAAATACTCGTACCTATATTCATAATAATTCTTAAAGTTGAAATGACTTTCTGCATTAATTATATAAAAATTAATAAGTAGGTAAATACATCGTGTCAGATTTTATTTTTAGTAATAAAATTATCGAGAGCATAAAAATATTTAGGTCAAAAAGCATTTTAATTTATGATTAATGATATACAACTATACAGTATACAGGTTTATAAATCAGTTAAATATATATATATATATTATTTTTAAACTATAAGACTTTTATTTATTTTATACTATGTAATCATAAAAATAATTTTGATTCAAAATAATAATAATAATTTTTTTTTAATAATTCAAAGTTATTTAAAAAAATTTAATTTTTACGAATACATATCTAACATTAAACATATAATGTGCGATAAATAATTTATTATGTTCATGAGAAAATGTTTAAGCGGTTAAAAGGTGAAAAAGTTGGATTTTTCCAGTAGTGATAATTTGTTAATGGTATTTAATCACGCTTGAATAATAATACAACAGATACACGAATTTATAGTAACACAAAATTATATATATATAATAAATGCATTTAAATATTTCCCAGTTGTTTTTGTTTAATACGTGTACAAATAACGTTTCGTATTCTCATAATCGTAAATTATGATATATATATATTATTTTAAGAAAACATTGAACTTGTGAAAATATGAAATTTGAATAATTTTTGTTATATTATTAGTTATAGTATCGGTTATTAAATTTAAAATTAAGTATAAAAATTATAAAAATATTTTTTAACATTATAAGATATAATGAAGAAAAAGACTGCATATATTAGTAAAAAAATAATTAAATAATAATATTTAACTTGGATTTACTCTAATAAATGTAACTGTAATAGCAAAATTTTTTACCTGCTGTTATAATTAATTAATTCGATAATATTTTACATTAGGCGCTTCGAATAACGATGACAGGAAATTAACATTTACGTAACTAGCACCTAAAAATATTTTTAAAAATGTTGTAACTACTTTAATATTTCAATAGTTTTTAATTATTTTATTTAGATCCTATATTAAAACTGTTTATGTTTTTCAAATAGCTTGTATAATATTAATGTCGGATTTTATGAATATTTAAAAATTGTAAATAATATAATAATAACTAATTTACCTAATATATAAAAGTAGTAGGGTAAGTTTTTTATTATATTTTTATAAAAAATAAATCATACAAATATTTAAAAATGATAAAATTAAATTTGAGTGTTATTCTCATATTTTTTAAAGTATTTTATATAATCTTAAAATTTTCAAATTTTGAGCACAAATTTAAAATTATATGCAATTAGAATAACTATACTATTCTTTGACATCAATTATAACTCTAGACAAACTAAAAAATATTTGTTTTTTCGTGAGCTCCCCTTTAAATTCAAAATTTTAAAAATTGGCTTCGAAGTGTACATTCTTAAGTATAGAATTACCTGTACCAACTTTCAGAACCTAGAGTACGACAGATTTGGCTGTGAATCGCTTACACACACACACACATACAAACATTGCTTTTTATTAGTATTCAATAAAGATAATCAATAATTTAATAAAAATAAAAATACATACATATAAATAGAACAAAAAGAGTTAAATATTTTGAATATTTAATTATGTCTATTAATTGCCAATATGAATATTCGGTTCTAATTTCAATTCTTTATAGATAGATATTCATTTTTGAGTAAAGTACAAAAAAAAATTTAAGAAAAAATATTAGTTTTTCTCAATATATATATTTTTTTTTTTTTTTTATTACTTTTTTGTGATTATTTCACAAATATTGTACATTTTTTACTTTTAACTCCAACCATAACAAATATACGTATAGATTCAATCTGCTACAAGTAACTACCTTCAAAATAAAAGAAGTTAAACATTGTTTCTACTGTAATGTTATACAATTTTTTTTTAATAATTAGACAAATTATGACTTAATATTACGCAAAAATAAACGAAAATTGGAAATATAGATGTGATATTTTGATTGAATATTTATTATTTTGTGATACTTGAAGAACAATATAGGGATGATTTTTATCTAGTTTTTTATTTGCAGCGAAATTTAGCCATCTTTTATAGGAAAGTGGATCCTTAAAAATATCCACAGCAATCAATTATTTGAGGATAGACACTAGTACACTACTGTAATCTATTATGCGATGGATATATGATTTAAAAATATATACCCCATAAGAATTTTATGATAAATTAAAAATTTCAGAGTATATTAAAAATATTAAACTATAATTTATTATATTTAATTATATTTAATATTATATAAGTTTAGATACTAAAGAATATAATTATTAATTATTAATTATTTTATTAAGTTAACGTTGATATATTCATAGAGTAAATATCAAACATCAAAATAAATAAATTAAAATGTGTTTTCATAAGTTACATAAGTATCATAATGACTTGTGAAAAAGGTCACTAAGTTTCCTAATAGATCACTGAAACTACCGAATAATTATAATAAAACAAAGCGGTTTTCAACATAATCGACCGAGCATGATAGAAGGAAATTATCGCTACTTCGCTAGTACGTAATTTAAGTTCCCTCACTCACTTATCCCCTGACAATTTAAATGGAAAATTCAAAATTATAATAATTAACTTTTCCATCGTTCCTTTAAATATAAGCAATAAGAACCAAGGGATAATTAATAAACTTTTTATTTAATGCTACAACACAACCATATTATCAAATTTCTTTGAAATTAAAATATTTCCAACAATGGATATTCTGAATTGAATGATACAATATGTAAAAAGAATAATATTGTCTATTAATATGTTATATTACAATATACGACACTCAATTTTTACAGAAATACAGATAGATCCAAGTATCAATAATTAAATATGTTTATATTTATAAAACTATAATTTTAGAAAATAAGGCAGTTTTTTTCATATTTAAAAATTGTCTTTAGAAACATTATAATTGATAAATTCATTAAAATCAATGGTTTGTGATAAATATTAATTATAACATTGTAAAAAAAATATTACTTTTAAATAATAAAATTATTTTCATACTAAATTTATAGTTAAAAATATATTTTTTTATTATAAGATTTAATGTATTGGAATTTGATATTTTTTCATAATTTTAATTATTAGATTAAGTTAAATACATTATTTTTCCCAGTATTATCTCATGATAATTATGGGATGAAAAACTACAAATATTTACATACTATCATCTATTTATATGAATGGAAATACCCTATTATCCCTACAACAGGTTGGAGAACTCATAAAACATTAGATGATTATTAAATTATTTGAATATTTGTCTATTAACCATTGGTGTAATGATTTTAAATATCAATATTTTTAACAACGAAATTCAACTCTTTAGTAAGAATTTAAAAATATAGAATGAAAATTCAAAAAAAAAAGAAAACTTGAAAATTGGTAAAATATTAATGAATACAAAATAAAATAAAAATAGAATAATTAATAATCTTATCTTATATACTTGTACTTTGATTAAAAAATAAAAATTCAACTTAAAATGCTTGTAAATTATAAGATTATTCAAGTTCTCATAAAGATTTATTATTTTAAAGTTATTAAATCTATACACTGAATATTTTAGGTAATAAAATGTACAATAGGTAGTAGGTACTTCCTACTAAAGAAATGAGGTACTTCTAAAGAAATGAATCCTTTTTTTTAATGTGATTTATTTGTGCATGCTATTACCATTAAAAATTAAATAAATTGAATCGATAGATAAAGTTATTAAATAATTGTATTTACTTAATTTAAAATAAAATTAAAACCCATAGAACAAAGGACGATCACTTATGTTTACGATTAACATAAAACTTTCGTGGTAGTCACGAATAATCATAAAATATAAACCTAACCGTTGTACATATATAGACGATAACTGTATAAAGAATAGTGGTGCTGTTTTAGCAAGTGAATAAATAAAGTGAGTCGAACAGGTGGAATGAATAGAAAGAACAAAATAATTCAGGCTAAAGAGCAAGAAGCATGCAAAATATAAACTGTAACCTGTCAGATAAGTCTTAAACTTGTTTATGATTAATGCAATATAGGTTTTCGTCTAGAACATGTATACTATGTACTCGTAAGTATGTACTATATCTAATTCAACCTACTCCTAGCTTGTAAGTACTACTCACAAACACAAAACAAGGGTCATATACACAATTTTATTATTTATATGAACACAATATATTTAGAGATATTATTAATATCTTAAGTATAAAGAATGATAGTGTAACATAATATAATTGAAGTTAATTAATCGATAATATATAATTGGAAGTATTGAAAATTATTAACTTTATTTATAAATCGTAAATACATAAATAAAATATAATTTTTATTTAGTATTTTATTTCAAATAAAGGAAAAAAAAAAGTATTTTATTTAAGATTATAAGAATAAAAAGAAGTTTATTAAGAATCAAAAAATTGATAGTAGTTTTAACAGTTGTGAAAAATATAAAAATGATTAAAATGTAAAACCTGTGAGCATTTAAAATTTTCTAGAATACAAATTTCAAATTGTTTAAAATAATAATAGGGTTTATTGTAAAAATTACCATTTTATATTCATTTATATAGTAGTCCTGGGTATATAATATATAATATTATATTGACACTATAACCGACAATAGGTATTAATTTCAGCATTCTCATGAGGATACTAAACCATGAATAATAATCATAATTTATACATGAATATACGTTTATATTAATAATATAAAGAAAAATGAACGATGGTTGATATGATCAATGGAAATATATATATATATATATACGATATATTACTATCAATTTTAAAAATGATTCTGTTTATATTTTATATAATTATAACTAATTAATATTTATTAATATATAAATAAACGTTATAATTAATAAACTTAATTTTTAACAATTCAAGATAAAACTTACCTCAACCCCAAACAGATATTTATTCATTTTTTATTCTTATATCTTTGCTGTTTATGATTTAAGTGTTGATAATGATAAGTACTTTCTGAAACACACATAAAACATAAAATAAAAATAAATTATCTATATAAAATTACGTACTTATTACCTACTTTAGACTATTTATTATAATTACTTAAACATAATATTATATACAAATAATTTAAGTGGTGTACGTTTGTAAATAATAATAATTTACAGATGAATTATAAAAACGTAAAATCTCTTAGTCTTTAATACATTTAACAGTTTCAGCATATATGATAATATGTGATATTTTATAAATAATTTATATGTATGTATAAATTAAGTGCTTTACATAATGCACCTAATCAAAAAATATGTTAAAAACAAATAAAATTAGATAAGAATACAAACATTTTTTTATTATTATTATTGAGAGATTATTTAATAACTATTATACAAATATGATATATGTATTATATATATATATATTATCTATTTAAAATTCTTATAAATTATAACTTTACATCGAATAAATGAAAAATGTCTGTAATTCACTTCATACATAAGAACATATTTTAGCTGGATTAACTTGGATTAAAATGGCGTTTCGAGTAATGAAAATGGGTATCTAAATACATATTTTGAAAATATTTTAAATTTTTATCTTTTTCAGTATAAAAATGTACAAAAGATAATTAATTTATTTTTAAATAGCAACGTTAATTTTTCACTGAAATTTGAGACTTTTTGGTTTCTAAATATAAGTTTAAAACACCTTATATCCCCGTTGTGTCTGTCCACGATGCCGTTAGTTACCAGTATATAGTTGCGATTGTTGATATTAAGATATTTATTTATTGTCAGTAGTTACTGTACTTTGTTAGATAAATGAAATTGAAGTTTATTGCATTATATTAAAACACGTTAAAAAATCTGGAATTAGCATGCTTGTAGAGAGAGCTTTTCTAACTTATTTTAAAACAATATTTTGTAAAAAAAAATATATTTATATAAACAAAGTTCACAAAGTTAAATTCATTTTAAATTAACAAATAATATATTTTTAACGGTATTTAATCATGTTTATACTATCCCCAAGATTTTCTCAATATAATTAATTTTTACTACTACACACATAAGACATAAATAAATTTAAAATTAGTTAATTTTTATTAATTTTAATGCTTATAATTAATTAAAATGATTTTTTATCTCATTTCTCAAATATGAATGTATAATATTAGAGTAAATAACAAAGACAAAGAAAACGAATTAAAAGTTAAAACTGAATATTCGTTTATTCGTAAATTTCAATTTACACTAAATTTATCAATCAATTTAATCATGTATGAAAACTTTTTGTGGAAAAAAGAATATTCAAATCTTTAAAATATATCTGCTTTACTATTTAAGAAAAGTAAGTTAAATTGTGATTGTGAATCTAAAAAGAATAACAAATTTAAAATTTTCTTAAAATATGTATTTTAGTAATATGTTTTACATTCCATACCTCATTTAAATTCAAGGTTATCCAGACGAAACATTTAGTTTTGTACACCTCTTAGCATGAGCAATGAACATACTATATTTATATTATTATATTTTTATTTATATTTATACTTTGAGGGCAATAAATTTAATATTTATGATAAAACTGGTTTATACATATTATATGAACATGTTTGAGAAAGGAAGCTTTTTTTGCCAATCTTTCAGCTGTTTATGAATCGTTCTTTGTTGAAATAATAAACTATACAAATAATCCAAGAATACCCCTACCATGCAAAATCACAAAAAAATTAACTTTATTTTTATCCTATAGTGAAATGTAGAAAGTTTCTTCAAATATACCAATAGCGCCCTTTTACTAGTGAATTTTTCCAGTGTACTCCACTGATAAAACTATTTTTAAATATTTAGTTTTGTTTTGTATTGAAAATTGTTATGAGGTAATTTTATTTTTTTAATATGTATATATTTTTAGTCGTTATTATTGGAGATTGGTTTAATAGTCAAAACTAAATTCTATTAATTTTTATACCAAACGTTTAAGTTTTACTATAAAATCGAAAAAGCAAAAAAAAGGTTATCAACTCCCCCCTCTTGGTTAAAATCCTAGCTATGCCCATGTTATAGAACTACAGAATTACTTATCAATGAACACGTTTATACGTCTATTGTAGTAAAATGGTTAAGCCCATGGAATTTTTAAGTTTAATATCCCATCACTTTAAAAAATGAATACTATTAATTACTTAATTACGCGTATTGCATCCAATAATAATCACAGAATATATACCTAAGTGATTTAAATATACGATCATAAATCTTTATAAAAACATTTCACTTATAAATATTTACAATTGAATACGTTTTGAACTTTTTATTTCAAATCAACATGCAATTCTAGAATATATAATATAAATGCTAATACAATTTAAAAAACGAAATAAACTAATAAATCAAAATATCTATTTTCCCACTATACATTAAATTGTTGCATCAATGAAGTAGGTAGACTAAATAAAGGATTTTTTATATTAAGTTATACAGAGATTTTAATAATTCATTCGAAAATATCTATTTACGTTTTTTCTTCTTATTTAAAGTTGATACTATGATAATGTAAATATTAAAATGTGCACTTATAATTTTTATAAAAGTTAAAATTATAACATTTACGATTTACTCTAATAAAAACTTAAAAGTGCATATTACAATTGTATCAATTATTATTTTATCGTAAATGATAAATATAATGCATTTTACTTGGACATTTGGGGAATCATTTTTTTATTTGATGCATTAAATATAAGCATACTTTTATACATTTTTTTTTTATGAGTCAACAATCAAAAACAATAGCTTAGTTGTTAAATATTAGTTATTCATCCAAATCTACTTCAATACTGGTTAAATATACAATTACGGTAAAATTTACAAGTAATTTTTGACAATAAATAAATACTAATTATTCTAACTATTTGAAATAGTATAGAAGGTCAATAAATAAATACTAATCATTCTAACTATTTGAAATAGTATAGAAGATCTAATTAATTAAATATCAATAAAGCAATATATTATAAGCACAATAATATTTGTACATTATAATTATACACCCAAAATATAGTATGGATTATAATAATATAATTATAATATAACAATATACCATAAACTAATAATTACAACAATTGCATTTATGATAATTAATGGTATTTAACAACAGTTTTGAAGGACAAAATAGTGGCCATAGAAATGTTATTCGTAATAAGTATAAGTAATAATATAATATATCTCAAATATAAACCAATAGTTGATAACTCTTGTCATAGTTTTCCACTGTTAGTAGATACGTACTTAATGGAAAATACTTCTAGGAAAACCTATGTCAAAAAAGTACAAACTATACTAATTTACATAAAAAACAGTAAGATAAAACAATTACTTTGAATGAAGCGAAATAATTTTTTCTCTTGACTATAATAAAGTATTTACCATAGTCAGTAGTCACCTACTTATACGTAAAATTAGTGTGTTCATCAACAATTATTAGATTGAGCAGAAAAAAACATTTACTATCCACAAAACAGAAAATGTAATTTTCCAAAGCTTTAACTGGCATCTAAAATTAAAATTTCTGTGCATGCGAGATAAAAACTTATTTTTATGTATAACAGTATTTTATCAGATTAGAATAACAGAAATAAATAAACTTTTTAAAAACAACTTAATTACCTAATTTTTTTAATTATATTTTTTGAGACCATAATGAAATAATTAGTTTGTGGTTGTAGACTAAATTAAAATGGCAAGGTTAAACTAGCTAAAATATGTAAAACTATCTTTGGTTTAAAAATGAGTTGAATGTGAATTTTATTGGATGAATAATAATTGAAAGTCGTACAGTGTTGACCAAAATAAAATATAGATTCTAAATTGAAATAGACTTAACAAGAATTGAATAGTACCTATCCACTATATTAAAGTTTCTACGACTATACTATATATGCTACGTTGAATATTACATAATCACTCCGTATCCATTTTCTTTGTAATTTACAAAGAAAACCATTATATTCAAGTATTCAATTTATCATTAAGTATACACTATATATAACAATATTTTCCAGATTTTATCAGATTTTGAGTGATGACAGTAGATGCGTATTGGTTTTAAAATGGTGTATTGATAACTTTTCACATAAAAATATAAAATAGCAATAATTATTTCCACAATATATCTATTAGTCATTTCCAAGTAATTTAAAATGACTTATTCTGTCTTAATATTTTATAAGTCAAGTATAATTATCAAAATGTTTAAATATATTTGAAGTTTGCCTGAATAAAACATTCAAGTTCGAATAAAAAATTGTTGTTTTCATTTTATTAAATTGAAAATATTAATTTCAAAAACAAGAACATTTTATGTAATGCTAATAAAAAATAATAAAATTATGTAATATTTTTTTTATACATAGATATTGCACATACATCAAAATAAGTGAAATAATCATTTAGATATTGTAGATTGTGTACATTACACATACTATGCAATATCAAATATGCATATATAATATACCTACGTCATGTTTATAATATAGGTATCTAGGCATGCAGACATATTCAACTTAAAATGAATACGTTTTCTTACAACGTCTTGTTTGCGTGATCATTAATCTACAAATGTGCACACGATATCGTATATGACACGCAAGACGTTACAATTTCAAATAACATGAGAAGTATTATACATTTTAACTATTAGTTATAATAAATAGTAGATATAGAGATTCAATTAGAGCATCATAGTATAAACATTTTGTAATTGTTACAAATTGTTGCACATTATACAAAACACTGTCGCCTAATAAATTATAAAGGCTTTGTGTCTTTATATTATTTATTAAAATAGGTATGTTGTCATAATAATTATAAGTTATAACTTATAACCATTAAAATATTATATAGTATACACATCTACACATGTCATGAATAATTAATATTTATTGTGGAAAATAAATTTAAGTAATATAAGTATATTTATTTTTTTTAAATCTAGTTTTTAATTTAACCT